GACTGGAGGGGGGTTGCTAAAAACTACAGTTATTAACTGTAGTTAATGCGTTGGATATGACTATGGGATATGGATAATGTTAACTGTCCTCCATAATTTTAAGCAATATATTCTGTGGAAAGGATAGGGAAAATTTCCTTCCTGAGGATCAGGTAGGCTTTCAAACTTTTGGCCACATAATAAAATGTACTAGTGATATTCAGTGTAAAGAAGATGAATCTTGTGAACCCTGGTCATATCTAGTCCCCACACTGAAGGCTCCGCTTCTGTACACTGTGATAATGCTTATATATAACATTTTTGAACTGCTATTTGTAAAACAAGATGTTATAAGAAAAAACGAAAGCCCTAATTTACACCAAAGAACAAATGTACCACCATGATGTTGACTGTCCATCTGCTAAGCACTCTAAAAGATAAAAATGTCTATAAAATCAAAGTCCAATGTGTGAAGAACCTGAAATATGTTCATACAGGTTCTAAAAGGGGCAAACACTCTGTCCAAAGCAACACCAGTTCAGGTAAATCTCTGTTACTGGTTGTTTTAAGCCCTTGGAAAGCAACCACAGCTGGATGGCTTCGGGTGGGGGAACCCAGACCCTGCATCTCCTGTGTCATTATAAAACACACATTATTGAGAAAACAGAAAAAAAGATAAATCTGTTCAGGAAATATTTTGTCTTTGATCTCCGAAAACAGCAATAGTCACCAGAAAACAGGGTATAAAAGCTAAACAAGCACTTGATATCACGCTTGCTGAAGCGCAGTAGTCACCAGCAAACAGGGTATAAAAGCTGAACAAGCACTTGATATCACGCTTGCTGAAGCGCCAGCTTGTTAACGTAAAGCCCAAGGTACTGGCCCACTTCTTCAGCCTCACCATCGGACCGATGAGGCTGAGAAACTGGCTCCAGAATAGTTGTAAGACACTTTGGACCTATTTATCATCAGTTTTACTTAGCATGAAGAGCTGTGCTATTACACGCACAGAAAGTGTAGTAAGGCAGCAATAATTCAGGCATTTTAGGGGGAAAAACCCGCAGGAACAGTACAGAAGGTGCTGAGCCCTCTCTCAGCCACGCTGTCTGGAGTCACACAGAGCAGGTGGTTTGTGCAGGATACTGAAAATTTGTCATCTAAACCTCTAGGTCCAAATTTTGCCCAAGGGCACAATCCAAATCTATAGCGTTACTTGAGCAACATCATTAGCTTTAAGGTCATAAAGATGCCCTTGTTTAATTTATCTCCCCACGTAACGCACAGATTTTCAGCCAGAAATTAAGAAGTGAATGGCAGGAAGAGTTAGAATGCATCTTTGAGCATGTCCACAAAATATTTGGAATTTTAACTATATTTGAAAATGAAAGCTTTCCTCCAGTGCCAGTGGCCACACATGAATACCACAGGGGAGTAGTCGAGCACTGCTTTGTGCTACTCTGCTGACAATGATCACTGAATCCATGGGGGAAAAAAAACTCAGCATCTTTACCCAACTCTTGGGTAAAGGAACTCCTTTTTTGAATGCAGATGGGATTCAGTCCAATACATGCATTATTTTTAAGTGCATTACTTAAGTATATAAACTGACACCCATATTTAAGTGCTCTGCTGGATCAGAGCCATAATGAATGAGTAGTTAATGCTACAAATTAATAAGCTTCGCTTTTTTAAAAAGAAAACATGTTTTTTGAAAACACTACACTGTTTGTAACTAATTTTGGGCCTTGCAAACTTACATTTCTAATACCTAGGAGGAAATTTGGGCCCCTGCTTCACCTACAGAACAGGAAGTTCTGAGGACCTGCAAGTTACTATGTGCACTTTTAAAGACACAATGGTTGGTCTAAGAGCTGAGAGTTTCTAATTAAATATAAGTTGCACCATAATTTTCAACACGTTTCTTACAGCTGCTCACACTGTACTGAAAGGACACAAAATGCCACCAGTTCCAAATTGTACCATATTGTATTCAGTATGCTCATGGGGAAAAAGGAGGATCAAAACCATGGGGCTTAATTTCTCTAATTAGAAATTAGAATTAGAGTCCCACTCTCCAGCCAGGACCACAGCCCCCAAAAGCTGTACCATCTCCTGAGGGTTCTACACTCATGAGCAATCAAAGCCACAGTGATGTCCTCTCTGAAGTTTTACTCAAGTTTCTGATGTAAAGAGGGGAAAGTGGTGGAAATTACAAGCAAATAATGGAATTTTATATTCCCTGGTCAGAGGGTTTTACAGCAGGGAGACAGCGTGGCCTCCTTCACTGGGTGATAAAGCTCCATTTTTCTTTCTGGTGAGTTGGTTTAGCACCACAAATCGATCAAGATTGCTGATAGAGATGCCCACAACTTCTCTGGCGATTTTGCTTCCTTCAGCAATGACCACCTCCAAAAATAATGTTTATTCAGCAGATCTCAGTCCATACTTCAGTCAAGGTTGACAATGCTGGAATTGACTTCTCTAGGAAGCTAATGTCTGTCTCCTGTGTGCCTTTATTGGCTTAGACTGCTCGAGCTTACTCACAGTAAAACCTCCTTCAGGAATCAATCAAAAACTGGCCAGAGTTTGGGGTTTCTTTCTTTCAGAGAGTGCTGATTTAATGAAGTGATTTTGTAGACATATACTCATATTGTCAAAATTATAATCAAAAAATCAAAAGGCCCTTGAAAGTATTTAAAGAAGGCTTTTTCAGTATTTCCAAAGTGAACACCTTTCCCTCTGCATTCCGGTTTCCCAAACGTTTCAAAAAATGAATGTTTTTTGAAGTGCAAGTGTCAGGATTCCCTAAAAAGCAGGTGGTCTCCATTCCAATAAGCTCCGAATTTCCATGGGCAGCAGTTGCAGATGTGTCACTTCTAGCACCCTCATTCCCTGCCACCAGTGTCAGCTCCTGACAGCCCCACAGGACTGATCTGCTCCCCTTTGTTATTTGCGTGGAAGAGAAGTGCACACTCGGCACGAAGCAGAATAGATGAGGACAGATGATTCATTTCCAGGCTTTTACAATTCCCTAAATGCTCTGTTTCTGAGGTATTTGGAAAGATTGTCGCTCTTCACCTCCTCCTGTGCTGATTAAAATGGGTGACTAAAATGGATGGGTGATGGGCAGCAATTACACTTTTTCCTTCTACTTTGCCTCGCTTTTAGCCATGGCAGGAATTTCTTGGTGCAAGAAGCATTACAGACCGGAGCAAAGGGAGACACTTATATCATCTGTTCTGATCTCCTATGGTAAAAAAAAAAAAAAAAGAAAAAAAATGCCAAATACCTTTGAACTGAAGAAATGTATTCCTTGGGATGAGAAGCTTAGAAGCTGACAACTCAGGTGGCACAGGACTGCGGATGCGTTGTGCCCTGGGGCTGGATCCCAAAAAGCTATTAAGACATATAGAGTAGCAGGAGGTGATTAAAACATTATTCCTCTGCCTTGTAGTTTGGAGGAGAAGCATCTGAGTTTGCAGCCACGGAGAGTGGAAATCGTTACAAGCCACATAAATGGACTGAGACGTTCTGAAATAAGCAGCCACCAGTTCAAGCAGGGCAACCAGCCCAGTGGGATGCTCCATGAGGTCAAGGAGAGCCAGGAGATGGGGGAAGGCAGCCAGCAAAGGAGAAAGAGAGGGAAATGTACTCTTCCCAGGACAACTCAGTGGATGCCAATGACTTTAATTTCAAGGACTTGCTTCCATATAATGTTTGATCATTAATAAATTAAATCACTGACAAATTTAAAATGAAACCAGGAGTAACTGTTCAAAAATATGTAGTTCTGCTGTCTTCTACTTATTTTCACACAATCCCACCCCCGTCACAAAATCCAAACCTGCCTATCACTGAGTCCTCTTAAAAGACTGCTTTTAATTTCCTAATTTCCTAAACTTCTAAGACTTTCCCTGCAGGGCAAAATACGACTTTTGACTTCCTAGTGTCCACCTGAATTCATTCTCTGTCCTTTGAGACATCATTAGTACATGATAAGCATGGCACTACAAAGCCTCCAGAGCAAAAAATGAGATGCCGAGTACATTTGATGAGAAAGTCTCAGCATCTCCTGGGGAGAAAACACACTACAGTAATTTGGAATAAGCAAAGGCCACATCATGTCCTGTGGGTCCACGCTCACAATCTCCATCCTTAGCTCTCTCCCTGGAAGGGCAAAGGAAAGATGACCTGCCCTTCATCTTCACCGACGCTTTCAATGAAGCTGAGAAAAGGAAAGGCAGCCACGTGTGGGACAAACGGTGCCAACTATGACCTCCAGACCCGTCCCACCAGCCTGCCCAGCACCGGGCAGTGAGAGAGGCAGAAGTGTGGGGAGGAACAAGAGGGACCCATGGAGCTGGCGTCCCCTCCCTAGTTGTCCTGGGTGCCAGGAGCGGAGGGGAAAGCCTCGTACCGGTGGGCAGGGCTGCCTGCAGCCCACCTGAAGGGTCTCTCTGCTGACTCCTGCAGATAGTGGCACCAGCCCAAGCCCCACACCGTCCCCAACTGCCAGGGGACCACTGGGTCCCCTCAAGGCAGAGCGAGGCCATTCACTCTCCCTCAAGATTTGCTCACCAAAGCTGAACTAGACCCAGCACACGTTTCTGAAGGACAGCCAAGCTCTTCCTATCGAGATATAACTGCTTATTTTTGTTCTTCAGGAAAACGATGCATTTGGCGTAACGGCCACCCAAATAACATTACAGAAATATGCACATATCTGCTCTGGTATGTGTGCACAATTCCTACATCTTAATGTTATTATAAATTAATACTGAAGTTTTTTACCCCAAGCATTATATTTTCCTAGCCTGTGCACTTGGTGAAGAATGACTACATCTCATCAAATGAAAACTAATGCACATTTTGACAGGATAAAGATATTACGACTCAACGTTTCCAAGTGTTACCTGATGCGTAACTTTTGTATGGCTTAACATGTTATTAACAGTACTTTAAACCTTATGTTCTTTTCTAATTTAATGCTTATGTCTGAAAATAGCCCCTTTCAAATTCAGTTGCAGTAATGTCTTTAAAAGCAAACTTCAAACTTAATTTGGTGCACATACAATTACCCAAATAAGTTGCATAGTTTAAACAAGTTCAATTGTGCTTTGTAGCAGAACTCACAGTAATTACTCATCTCTTAAAAATACGATTTGTGGATATGAAGTTGACAATACATTTAAGCATTTTTGTGACGTCTGGACATCAACAATATGAGTTTTTGTCACTCTTCCACTGACTTCTGCTGTTCATAATACCTCACCCTTACAGTGCTATTAGATCAGAGCATGGACATTTAATGGACACATCTGAAATAATTACAAACACAATTTTTAAAACTCCATCGTCGGGAGGGGAGAAATAAGAACTTGGGTTGGTTTGAGGTATCCAGCCCTCAGAAACATACCATGGTTGTTTGCATTAAGCTTTGTTGGTTTTATCACGTATTACATTTAGATTAAAAATAGAAGGCACAGGTGTTTTACAAGGCGCCGTAATTAAGTCAACCAACAAAACTAAATATTACATTACCAAGCCAGGGGTCTATATCTCAGCAGTGACTTCTTCCAATGCATTTTCATTTGAGGAATTTATTGCTTCTGAAAAAGGGCCGGGGTATGTCTGTGCTACGCAGTTCATTCCTTGTGCCACACCAATGTCTCCTCGGGAACTGAAAGTAGGGCAGGATCTAGTCCGTGCATAGTTTTGTTGGGGTCCAGCTTGGCCAACCATCTCGCTCACAGTGTTCACCGGTGAAGCCATCCACCTCCGTCTCTGCAGTTGCTCTTCTTTACACTTAATGGAATACCAGGCCAGGAAAATAAAAAAGAATCCCACGAACTTGAGAGCAGCTGCCAACCCAAAGTAGACAAAACGAAAGGAGGTGACATCGTATTCCCAACAAGATCCTTGTACGCCGCAATCCTGCTGCCAAAGCATGCACGTGGTGTCAATAACAGCCCCAAAATAAATTGGGGTGGGAATGTAAGCTGGAATAAAAATAGCAACAGAAATAATATGTGTTAGCATGTAGTGGAGAACTTCTAAAGAAACTATATGCCTTAGCCAAACAGGTCGAGAATTTTTGAGATTTCTACACTGCTGTTCTCACATGAAATGCAGAACATGGAAAGCTGATCAGCCAGTCTTCCTACCAACACTTGAAATGTACCACAAATGGGAAAGAATTCAAGCACCTTACAACAGGTCCTGCTTCAATCTGTCATCCCCAGACAGCTCTTCTTGAACTGTGTGTCACCCAAAAGATAATCAAATGTTGCTCTCAGGAAGTAAAATACAGGAGAGGAACAAAATACAGTGCGATCTCCAGAGTGTTACTTGCTGAACATCCATTGCCCATGAGTTGGGAAAGGGCGGGTGTTGTTGCTTCAGATTAGGGAGGAAAAGCCCCAAAGACTGCAAAATGTTTCTCTTAATGAAGATGGATGGAAGTGGTGAGATCACTGAATTTTTTTTTTTTAATAGATCTTCGTCAGAAATAGACTTCAACTTCTATAGTTGCTAAAAATGCAGCCAGCTCATTGGATGCTCCTGCTTTCCCCAGAAATACAGCATCCTCAAGACAAGTCAGAAACACCCCATCCCTGGAGATGTTCAAGGCCAGGTTGGATGGGGCTTTGAGCAACCTGGTCTGGTGGGAGGTGTCCCTGCCCAGGGCAGGGGGTTGAAACTGATGGGCTTTAAGGTCCCTTCCAACCCAAACCATTCTATGATTCCATGATTCCAAAGAAAACTTCCAGATGCAGCTATATGGGCTTCTACTCTTGTTCTCTTAGAAAAAGTCTTGCTTGCTCTAGTCACATGTCTCATAGTAGATGAACACCTTGAATGTTCTTTATAGGTAGGACTGTAGAAGTTCAAGAGCTTGAAAGAAACTATTTTGTGGAATAAAGACTTTTAGCATGTACCCGTTTTGCTTTGGAAGATTTTAAATTAGACATTAAGTAACAATTGCTTCTTATGCTAAAAATGCAAAAAGCTATTGCTGCTGCTGAAAGCAATAAAAGTCTGTTTCTAAAAAAGAAAAAATCCTTGTAAAAATATTCAGTTACTATTAATTTTTAAATAAAATTTGAAACTGTAAAAATTCTCTTTCTGGGACAAAAATGTTGTTCTAGAAAATCAGCAACAAAACAAAACCGAAAAAAAAAAAAAGGAAATGAAATACATTCAGCAGTAACTGTAAGACTTACCAAGAGTTCGTAATAAAACAAACTGCATTCCTAGTGCAAAGGGCCGCTCCCCATCTTCCACAGACCTAGCAGGAGACAAGAAAACTTCTCTGAAGAGACAGTCATAACAGATAATCATGGCATTATGCTCTGGCTCTATCTACCTCCTGGCCTTTTTCTGAGCTGTAAAAATCTTTCTGATTTTCTTCCATTTAGCTTCTAATATCGTTAACTCTTATTGCTAGAAAAACATACAGCCAGCCGCTCCTGATCCTGTTTAATTAAAATTTCAATCACACCTTTTAGCCTTGCTTTACCTATCTAAGGCCTAAAGAATTTGATCCAAAGCCATTAAGGAAATTTAGAGAATCCATCCAAAATGTTATGGTTTCTCCTGCTAGTTTCCTATTATTTCCCATAACATCTTGCTTTATTTTCTTAATCGTTTTCAGATAAATTAGAATTAAAGGAGAATTAAATTGCTGAAAGCTGGGGTCAGCTTCTGAATTTAATAGATCTCTGTGTTGCATAAGCACTTCGGAGCTATTTTAGGAAAAATATCAGTTGAAACATCGAAACAGTCTGGTTAAACTCTGTTCCTTTTCAACACAAGTAATACAAGATTTCTTCCATTGGTTTCAATGCAATAATGTCACGCATTCAAAAAACTAAATCCAAGGTATTGATACTCCACAATGCAACTACAGTTTTAGTAAACCATAAATTTTCTTCTAATTTAAAAAATGCTTTAAATCTTAACCTAAAGTTCTGAAACTAAGATAGGCAACTGTTAATGACATTAAGATTTAAGATAAAAATACACAGCAAAACTGCAAAGGGGTGCAGCTGTAATACCAAGGTTTTGAAGTCAAGAACTCTCTTGGAAATTGAGAAAACAAGGAACCAACCTGGGCCACAAATCTTGGATTGATGGACTGTGCACACTATGTGATTTGGGACAGTGGGTGTCACTGTTCATGTGTGTGGACTGCAGTTTTTTTTGACTGAACAACACAAAATCCTGCTGGAGATGTCCCTTATGCACCTCACTGTTACGAGGTTCACTGCAGTATGAATGTTCATTGGCTGTAGTTTATCTTTGCATAATTGCAGTGCAATGACAATGGTTTTTTATTATTATTATAGATAATATTATAGAATCACAGAATGGTTTGGGTTGGAAGGAACCTTAAAGATCATCCAGTTCCAACCCCCTGCCCTGGGCAGGGACACCTCCCACCAGACCAGGTTGCTCCAAGCCCCATCCAGCCTGACCTTGAACCCCTCCAGGGATGGGGCAGCCACAGCTTCCATTCTTACATGATGCTTTAACTTGTTGTCTCTTTATAGCACCTGGAAATCATTGAACATTTTATGTTTCCTAAAGTGGATTATCATGCTACATACTCTAAATACAACCAAGTCCCACCCAATCCACGTCAGCCCTACTCTATTCAGTTTTTAAGCATACACAAGCTTGAAGGAGTTTGGCTGCGTTGACAGCAGGCACAGCAAAAATACCCGAAAACCCACGACTGAGTTCTCACCTGAGTGTCACTATGATTGCTGAGGGCTGGGCACAGGCTGTTATAAGGGTAACGATGAAGAGAAATATCAGGAATGGGATAAGGGTGTTGCAGGTTCGGTCACACTTTCCGGAAACAGCGTAGCCATTCTCATTCAGGTAGGTTTTGACAATAACCAGCCGGAGCTGACTGCGCTGGCCCACCGTCGGTGGAGTGATCACCTGGCGACTCTGGACACAGGCACATTCCGTGTAATTTCTGACCTGGGGAGAAGGAAAAAAAGAACATTTTTCACGTGAAAAACCTGCATGAGAAAGACATTGCACAGAGGCAGGGTACAACAGTCCCACAGTACTTCTCAATCTCCGGCATCATTACCCCAAGAATGAATGAGGTTACCACTCTGACTATTTTTAAAGCTGGCCACAAATTCCCATGATGAGACTGTCTTTCCATTGCTTACGACTTCCACTATTAGGCTGAATTTAGGAAAAAATCTGGAATATTTTTGAGAAATTCTGCTGAAACAATTCAACCACATCAACAAGGAGGCCAGGGAAAAAGATCATTTCTACTGTATTACACAAACTGTGAGGAAACAGCACTGTGTTGAGCAGCACTGACAACACCATAATCTGAAATTTGGCAGGTTGTCAGCATCCACCTTCAGGAAATTCTGCTGAAACAATTCAACCACATCAACAAGGAGGCCAGGGAAAAAGATCATTTCTACTGTATTACACAAACTGTGAGGAAACAGCACTGTGTTGAGCAGCACTGACAACACCATAATCTGAAATTTGGCAGGTTGTCAGCGAGTGAGGTTACCACTCCGACTATTTTTAAAGCTGGCCACGATTTCCTATGATGAGACTGTCTTTCCATTGTCTATGACCTCCATTGTTAGGCTGAATTTAGGAAAAAATCTGGAATATTTTTGAAAAATTCTGCTGAAACAATTCAACCACTTCAACAAGGAGGCTGGGGAGAAAGATCGTTTCTACTGTATTACACAAACTGTGAGGAAACACTCTTTAAGCAGCACTGACATGAATGTCTCCAAAGAAGCAGACGCCTCCACTTCTCTGGGCAGCCTCTTCCAGGGCTCATGAAAGTCTCCCCATATTCGGCTAAAGAGCAACAACCTGCACTTCACGCTTGGAGCTCAGGACCTTCCAGTTGGATGTGGACGTGGGTAGGATGCATAGAGGAGCAAACCAGAGAATAAAGAGAAAGCAGAGATTTAAGCAGCGAGATTGAAGGGCGTGAGGGATTTCTGAATGTACAATAAACCTGAAATTAGGATGAACAGACTGAATGGTGGGGATTGGAAGGGACCTCTGGAGATCATCTAGTCCAACCCCCTGCCAGAGCAAGTCCACCTGGAGCAGGTTGCACAGGAACATGTCCAGGTGGGGTTTGAATGTCTCCAGAGAAGGAGACTCCACCACCTCTCTGGGCAGCCTCTTCCAGGGCTCTGCCACCCTCACAGGAAAGAAGTTCGTCCTCAATGTTCAGATGGAACTTCCTCTGTTCCAGTTTGTGCCCGTTACCTCTTGAATAACTGAATAATGAAATGGCATATCATAGGCAAAGGGACTGTGATTTGAGCAAGGTGAGGAAGAGCTAGATCTGGAATAGCGTCTTCTCACATTTATTCTACTATTGTTTTCATCTAATTTAATGGCAAAAAGGTTTGCAGTGGAGCAGATTACTTGGCCACTAGAGAAGAAAGAGGTCAGGACCCATGAGATGTTACGGCAAGGAGTTTCTGGTTTCAGTCTGTTCACTCATAAAACCTAGGGCCACACATGCACAGCAGCTACATTACAAGACAATCTTAAGGTTGCAAATTTAAGCTCTAGACATCAGGAAATATCCCAATGATGGTTACTTGTCATTCTTCTACTATTGTTTTCATCTAATTTAATGGCAAAAAGGTTTGCAGTGGAGCAGATTACTTGGCCACTAGAGAAGAAAGAGGTCAGGACCCATGAGATGTTACGGCAAGGAGTTTCTGGTTTCAGTCTGTTCACTCATAAAACCTAGGGCCACACATGCACAGCAGCTACATTACAAGACAATCTTAAGGTTGCAAATTTAAGCTCTAGACATCAGGAAATATCCCAATGATGGTTACTTGTCATCTTTAATGAATATCTCTGCATGTGTTTGTTCTGTGACATAGCCTCACATTTTTTCCCCCTGGGATTTAGCTGAAAATCTAAATGATACATCAATTTACCCAGTATTTTACCTCCCATTTTCAAAATGTGGCTCCAGGTATTTTTTTTTTCCTCACGCTACACATATTCAACTACAAAGACAGAGTGACTCTTATTTCATATGGATTTTTCTATCACACTCACCATTCTAGCTTAACTCTTTCAAAAAGGAGTAATTTATCTTCAAAAGAGTTATGAGATGAGGCACTGACATTGCTATCCTTATTTTGTAGCTAAGTAACTGAAACAGATCAAAAGTTTCACAAATGTGGGTGACTAATTTGAGACAATTGGGATCCTTTTTGAACACGTTCCATTGTATACAATTTAATATATTTTAATCATAACTTCTAATCATGCCTTCAGATACAGATTTAGGCACTCAGTGCTTCTACAAATGGCACTTCTGGTTATTGCTCATGTCTATCATCCAGAGTATAAAGATTTCCAGATTAATGACCAACTGGGACAAGTTTTGTTCAAGTGACTTGACTTAGGAACGGAGGCAATGACAGAATCCAGTGTCCCAAGGCAGGACTCCAACCTCCAGTATCACAGAGCATTATGGCCATGCTCGTTTCGTACCAAAAACCAAGCTCTTAAATTCTTCCATTACAGAACTGTCCTTTAGAAAAGGATAATTAAGAAAGACAGGAAGTAATGTAAACATTGATTTTCTCAGGACATGATTGGGCTTTCCAGAAAGCTTATTCATAATGCATCCATCTCCTGATTTGCAGTCCTGAACCAGCCTGTGGAGCAGGAGGATGTTAGGTCCAATGCTGTGCTGGCTCAGGTTGACTGGATAATGGTCTGAAAATACAGATTCATACATAGATGCCACTGAGAGCACATTGGTTTCCTTTATAGATTTTTTTTTTTTTTTAGAGTATCTTGTTGGCTTTTAGTAGAAAATTGCTTTGGCCTGATTGGAAAAGCCTGTAGCGTGAGCCTGTGGTTAACTTTCAGTGTCTATATAAATCTTATTTGTGCTTTGCTGGATTGAGACATAGAATTGATCTTTGTTACATTTCACCTGACATCAGACTGGCACTATTAGTTCATTTAGTAGGGAGGTATTTTGGCAGTATGTGCTCTTCACTACAGATTTTGAAGCGTACTATCTCCTCTTATGATTGAAAAAAAGATCCTTCATGGCCTGAAGTTTTAACTTGGTAGCTAATGGTGAACAGAATAGGGCTCAAATTGGTGGGAAAATGCATTTTTTCATTAAATAATGCTTTATTATTCAAATTTTTAATTTATTACTTTCATATATTATTCATATTATTGATTTAATTTATTATTTTAAAACAACAAATGTAAGCTTATCCCACTGTATAACACACAAAATGTTCCTAAGCTATAACATTCAGATTTAAGTTTATAACATTTAGTGAGAATAGTTTCAAAATTAGACCATTTAAAAAGTAGAAGTAGGAGAAAAGGACGCCAGTGTACAGTTCATACCTGGTTTATATGTCTAAGATTAGATGTCTTTATATGTCTTGGACTAGATGATCTCCAGAGGGCTCTTCCAACCCCGTATCTTTCTGTGATGCTGTGAAGCACCAGCCCTCCCCACCTCCCTGGCATTTGGCACCCACTCAGGTGGAGGATTCACTTGGCACAAATGCCCCTCTACTCTGCACTCATGAGACCCCACCTGGAATACTGTGTCCAGCTTTGGAGTCCTCAACACAGAAAGGACATGGACCGGCTGGAACAGGGGCAGTGGAGGGGCCACGAAGATGATCAGAAGGATGGAGGACCTCTCCCGTGA